GAATATTTAAATCACATAATTCAATTATGATGTAACTAATTTGAATATTTAAATCACTTAGTTCAAATATGGTGATTAGTTACAATTTGAATATTTAAATCACCTAATTCAAATATGTAACTAATTTGAAGATTTAAATCACATAATTCAAATATGGTGATGTAACTAATTTGAATATTTAAATCACATACGGGTAGTTCAAATAAGGGGATGCAACTAATTTGAATATTCTAAATAACAATTCAAATTTAGTGATGTGACTAATTAGAATATTTAAATCAGCTAGTTCAAATATGGTGTTGTAACTAATTTGAATATTTTAATCACCTACATGTAGTTCAAATATGGGGATGCAACTAAATTGAATATTTAAATCACCTCGTTAAAATATGGGAATGCAACTAATTTGAAAATTGAAAATCGCATAGTTCAAATATGGGGATTGATGTTCTTATTTTTACATAGTGTTCATTCAAGGTGTGAATAATTTTTTTGTAGGGCGTCTGTCCTTGAACAATGAGGAAGTGGCATCAGGTAAATCACAGGGAACTTTGACAGGACTGACTATATCAACAGAAATGTATATCGGTGGTGTGCCAACAGGTTTTGATATCAGGTTAGTATAAACAAAATTAATTACACATCAAATGAGATGATTAATCCTTTGAGTGCAATTGTCAATTTTTGTACAGTGCCCCCCCCCCCCCCCACATGAAATGTTGATAGAAATTGATGAAACTGTCTTTATTTTCCAAAATTATCTGGGAAGAATTTTACAAAATATGAAAACTTTTGTACAGTATTTTGGCGTAGAAAAATGTCTCTGAAAGGGTTAGTATACTAAGCTTTTAGAAGATACTGTTAGTAGCACATGCTATTACAAAAATTACAGGCGTATTTATATTGATATTTTGAATGTTACTCCAAAGTTTGTCCATTTGACTCGCAATTAATAAAATTACAGGCGTAATGATGTTTATATTTTGAATGTAACTCCAAAGTTTGTCCATTTGACTCGCAATTAATAAAGAACTTAAAGAACAATGCATAAAAATATGCAACTTGTGTTGTTACCAACATTTTTGTGAGAAAAACAGCATTCAAATGGATAACTTGATCTGCTGTTGAATTATGTTATCGGTACTGTATGTATTTGTAACAAGGGTGTTAGGGGTTATGGGTGCTCTGTGGATAATATCTGGGTTTACTGGTCAGTAAGAAAAAATGCAGTGTTATGGTGGGTTACTTTTATATGACTTTGATTAAAAAATGTACAATAGAAGCAAGGACATATTCTATGTTAGTCTTATTTGTATTTTTTATGTCTCAACAGAACTGGTGTCAGTGAAAAGAGTTTCACCGGATGTATGCGTGAATTCTTGGTCAACCGAAATGCCCAAGAGTTTGGATCACAAAACATAGCATCGTTAGGTGTAACTGATGGCTGTATTAAAAAGGTAACATAGTAGCAAAGTTAATTGCAGGCACAGCGATTTGCAGCCTCCTTTTTTTCTACAGAAAATGTTGATGAAAATTTCAACATTATTTGATCAAAATCTGGAAGCAATGTCTCATTTTTCTCTAAATGGTCAAATTGAGTGACAATTACGGAAAATGTGAACAAATTTTGAACAGCAAATAAATTTGGTGCTCAAAGTTTAGGCATGATGCTGTGTTCAATATTTACAGCATGCTCAAACATTGAGAATATTAATGTGTGGGAAATCCTTTGCCAAGAAATGCATCAGTATCAGTGTATAACCTCTTCAGCTGCAATATTGTTCACGGTATGTGCTCTAAAATACTGGGTCAAGTACTGTGATATTCTAACATGTACCGTAAAATCTGTATTATAAGCAGCAACCCTAGTGAAAGGCGCACCACTCCCACTCTTTTTGAATAATTAAAAACAAAAAATTCATCATTTTTCACATATGTAGATTTTCTAATAGTTACATCCCCTCTGTTGCATTTTACCATTTCAATAGAGCTTAAGCCCCTAATACAGATTTTACAGTAGTACGTGTATGGCCACATTCTGACAGCAGGTGTTGAACCGATATATGCTCTGAAATACCGGGTCAAGTACTGTGATATTATAATTACATGCTTTGAATCGCTATGTTACTCAAGTAGTGTACAGCCACATTCTGACAGCAGGTGTTGAATTGCTACATCACCAGATCAAATATTTCACATTCTTACTGCATGCACTGGGTCACATTACCAGATCAAGTACCATCACTCAAGCATGTTCAATCACTAAATGATTGCTGTATTCTATCTGCAACTTTTTTTTATCTTTTTCTTTTTTGTGCTGCATGTTCACTTATCTTTAAATTCTGATAAAATTGAACCGACTGGTAATCATTTTAATAAATAAAAAAATCAATATAAGCAAACGTTTCTCGGACATGCCTGGCAACTGAAATTTGCTATATAAAACTTGTTCATTAATAGACTAAGTGTTTGTTTTCAAGGTATAGTGTGAGTAACATCATAGTTGTAATTGTTGTTATAATTGTGAAAGTTGTTTTCCAGTCTTTCTCTTATGCAGTTTTCATTAAAGCTGCATGAATTATAGTGTGACATATTTTGTTTTTTCTTTTATGTAGGCCATTAGAAATGTTGGTATAATGGGTGAGGGATATGTTGAATTACCTCCAGTGGACCTTGGTAAGGATGGTGATATTACAATATCATTTGCGACATATCAACCAGATGCTTTGCTTCTATTAGCTAAAAGTATAAACAACAAACGCAAGAGACAGGTGAATCTGGATGCCTCAGGGGTAAGAATAAAATATAATAAAATATAAAATACAATATAATATAATAAAATATTAAAGGCCATATCAATGTATTACTATAATGCTGTATTCTGTGTATTACTACAATAAGTGAACACTGTCAATATCTGATCTATTCCTACTGGGAGATCAGGTATAATCTAATAACGTAGTCCTGAGTCAGAGTGACGTGTCCTCGGACCACACCACCCATCCACAACAAAGGAATTTTGAATAAATTAAATACAACATACACCTGTTCCTGCATTCACAACATGCACCTGAATACCAATCTAATTTCAATCCGGATTCTCGCGTGACACCAATCATGGTGCTCGTTACTTACATACTAGGTATGTCGTGCCAAACTTCGTTTGAAACACCGTCTCCAATTGGCTGTTAAAAATCTAGTATAACGACTGTGTTGATTGATTTGTTTTATAGGTGTATTATTCTATAATGCTTAAAAATGGTAGACTACAAGTGCAGCTGAATGCTGGTTTTGGTGGGGTGTTACTCACAACTAGGAAGTCAGATGGCACATTTAATGATGGTGAATTTCATGTGGTTAGCATAGTAAAAGAAGATAACAGGTAAAGATAAATTTTATAGTGTGTTATTGGGATCAACGTTCTTATAGTTAGAGTTAATTAGTTACTCGCTCACTCCAAATTTTGCGGAATTTTTATATTCGGGGTAACATTCGGCAAAGAGGGTGGGCCCCTTCAAAATGCAACTAAATTAAAACTTGTTCTTTGATAATTGCGTAATGAATCTTGATAATCGTTTTTATATGATACAGCGTGGATATCGACCGCTGTGATTATGTTATGAACAGCTAGACCATGATAACCATGCTTAAACTACGCTTCGACAATGACCTGTTAATACAAGTAAAATGTGGTAAATATTTCACGCCATATTCAGTTTACCTCTCAAAAATGGCTAGTTACCAGTTTTTTGGAAAAACCATGCCGTTTATTTGCTGAAATCAATTCCAACAGATCGTACTTCGTAATAAAATGTGCATATTTTTTGTGATCATTTCTGTTGCTTCATTGTGAAAAAATCAATGACGAAGCAACTAATTTCGTAATTTGATTTTCCCTCAAAAAACGCAATATCAGGTAAGCACCCACCCCTAAAACATCATGATTTTCTGAGTTGAGGCCCCTGGGCGCTTACGCGGTCGAGTACAGTAGTTAACTTAAGATGCTGTGTTGTGTTTTCATATACATATACTAAGATTTGAATTTACAAAATCAGTGCAAAGTTGTGTCCATCATGCATACTTGGTTTCACAACATCCTTGATACAAAGGAGTCATTTTGTGTTTTTAAGTAGGTAGTAACTGAGCAGGGAATCCATCACGCTCTATAGTTTATCCTTTAACTACATTGAAATATCTACATTTTAGCGAATTTAACTCAATGCATGAAGTAGCTGAATCTTAATTTAGCTAAAATGCCAATAATCTTATCGTGAGAATATACTTTATTTAAATTAGCGACATCTTGAATTAGCGAAATTACAGATCAGCTAAATTAGCTTAAATAACATGCTAGCTAAAAAGACTTGTTTTACAGTGGTGTATTCTGCTGGGATTGATATAATTTCAGAATCAACTTGACTAGACAGTTTACCTGGCATAACTTGGTGCAGCTATTGTTTGTTAGCAATACAGTACATCATTTACTTGTCTTCACGCTGTGTAGGAAGGCATGCAATGATTATATAAAACTATTAATTTCGTTTATATTTCAAACAATGTACAGTACCCCCTCAAGGCTCAAGAGAGTTTAAGATTTGTGTACTTAGCGGGAACGTAACGTGATGTTCTAATTTCGTTTGCGCTACGTTCTCGGTCATGCACAAAGTAATGATGTATCTGTTCTCGTTCAGTTCTCATACACGCATCTTAATGTCTCTAATATCAATTGAACACAAACAAAAGTTTTTTAAATGAGCTGGTTGAGGGCACCATGACACCAATTTACTAATTCTTTATTCACAATAACATTATCTATCTTGGTTTTTTTTAAAGCGTAAAGATTTCTGTTGATGACACAGCTTTCCGTGGCGGCAAAATACCCAGTGGTCCGAATGAAATATCAGTCAATGTGCTTACCATTGGTGGAGTGAGATCAGAGTATAAAGATAAAGTTGGTGATGCCGCAGATGTAATCAATGCATTCAGTGGATGCATACAGGATATAGTTATCAATGGAATGTAAGCACAAACACATTTATATCTTGTCAAGGGTATCATGAAATAGCATTCCAACATATCAGGAATATACAATGTGGGATTACTTTTAAAAAAGAATACAAAAATTACCTAAAGGCTAGTCCCACATAATTTCCAATTTAAAAATTTATAAAAAAATAATATTTTATTAAATTGCATTCATTGTACTTCCAGGTTTTTTGACTGTCTCACTACTATTCTTATTTTCTATTTATGTTAAAGTAAACATCCGTGATTTACAGCACAGGGGCCGGACTCGATTAGTTGCTAATCGCAACTATTTTCGACCCCTATTCCATTTGTATGTTTTTGTTTATATATATTTTGTGTGTTAAGATATTATTGCATAATTTTATCATACAGATAATTGATCTGGGTGATACATTATTCCACCACACAAATATAAACATAACTGTAAAATTTTAAATTTTTGTTCGGAAATTGCGCTGAAGGGAGGATTCAGTAAAAAAATAAAATCCAGCAAATATAACTTTCTTCCTATATTTTACATTCAACTCATCACAAATCAGAAAAAATTAGCTTCATACAAAACACCCAAAAAGTCATTTCAGCAAAAATTATTTCCAGCTAAAATAAAGTATTTTAGAGTATTGTGCGACTTTGAAACATTTCAAGCATTGCATTGTGGGAAATGGTAGACCCAGACAACATTTGCATCAAACCAAAGTATCTCATTATAATAAAAATCATGCATAATCAGGTTAATGATTTTAAGTGAAAAAAAATGAACTGACTGAAAATCAAGTCAGAGCATTATGACAGTTTATTACTTTTTCTGCATTTCGTCAGCCCTCCTATGCAAAAACAAGGTCAATTTCATATTGTATCTATTGACATAAAGAGTTTAAAAATCTCCAGTTAATCATATCGGTGTGCATTGTGCACTGAGCATCCTTAATTCATGTTTGAATGAAATGAACACAATGCCCTTAACATGACACTTGGATCCTGAAATACACTTGTCACATTGCCACATTTTGCTTCTGTGCCACAATCTGATTAAGCAAGGCGCAGGGAAGGGATGCACATTTACTTTAAAAGTTCCAGTAAGTTTCAAATACTGATTTTTTTTTGTACCAGTGTGTGTCAATTCTGTGGGATGTGACATTTCCAGGTCACGCACAAATACCAGGATGTGTGACATGTCCAAGTCGTGCACATGCAAGTACCAGGATGTGTGACCTTTCCAGGTCATGCACAAGTACTAGGATGTTTGACCTTTATGGATCATACACAAGTACCCTGATGTGTGACATGTCCAGGTCATGCACAAGTACTAGGATGTGTGACCTTTATGGATCATACACAAGTACCCGGATGTGTGACATGTCCAGGTCATGCACAAGTACTAGGATGTGTGACCTTTATGGATCATACACAAGTACCCGGATGTGTGACATGTCCAGGTCATGCACAAGTACCAGGATGTGCGACATGTCCAGGTCATGCACAAGTACCAGGATGTGTGACATGTCCAGGTCATGCACAAGTACTAGGATGTGTGACCTTTATGGATCATGCACAAGTACCAGGATGTGTGACATGTCCAGGTCATGCACAAGTACCAGGATGTGTGACATGTCCAGGTCATGCACAAGTACCAGGATGTGTGACATGTCCAGGTCATGCACAAGTACCAGGATGTGTGACATGTCCAGGTCATGCACAAGTACCAGGATGTGTGACCTTTCCAGGTCATGCACAAGTACCAGGATGTGTGACCTTTCCAGGTCATGCACAAGTACCAGGATGTGTGACCTTTCCAGGTCATGCACAAGTACCAGGATGTGTGACCTTTCCAGGTCATGCACAAGTACCAGGATGTGTGACCTTTCCAGGTCATGCACAAGTACCAGGATGTGTGACCTTTCCAGGTCATGCACAAGTACCAGGATGTGTGACCTTCCTGGTCATGCAAAAGTACTAGGATGTGTGACCTTTATGGATCATGCACATGCAAGTACCGGGATGTGTGACATGTCCAGGTCATGCACAAGTACCAGGATGTGTGACATG